GAACTGACCTTTGCTTGTTCAAAGAAGACAAGTGTTTTTCTATGGTTCACCAGGCAATTAGCAAACTGATTGCTATAGGCGATTTATTTTGACAGTCAAAATGATCAAAGTACGTCTGTTAAGAATATTGCTACTTAGCAGAAATCTTATCAGCTTGAGTAGATACAAATTTGATAGTAAGAAATTTGCCAATCTGAAAAATTTAAAAATAATTACTTGAAAACACTGTTTTTTCTGCTAGTTGTGCAACCACAAATGATCTCGAAAGCCACACTGAACTTTCTATGAGAGGTTTTTAAAGGTTTGTTATATTAAAAAACATTAAGCAAAAAATGAAGTGCAGAAGTTGACACTAAATCTTTTCACACAATACTGTAAGTGCAAGTTACAGTAGCTGTAAGTCAACAGGGAGAAGGGGTAGATTATAAAAGTTACCTTCAGTGTTCATGTCACAGAAGACTTCAACTGGAGCTCCTCCCATAGACGGCACCACAGTGTAGATTCCAGTCCTGCGCACACCATTGTAGTAAATGGAGGCACAGTCTATGGGGCAGTTTCTCACACGCTGTATTTCTGAAAAGAAAAAATGAATGCCCATTTGAGTAACTTATTACTCAACTTATTAGTAATTATTTTGTCAAAAGCCAGCACAATGCACAAATCATCTCAGCCAGAATTAAGGAAAGAGGTACTGAGGAATCTAACCATAAATTGACCTAAAAAAAGTATTTTATTTAACCACAAGTGAAAAAATACAGATAAACAAAACTGCAGCACGTAAATGGGGGTGGGGTAGGAACTGACTCATGCAGACCTCATTAAAAGGACACTAGGATGTCTTCAGGCCTAAAAGTAATTGGTGTACCTAAAATGAAATACATTTCATTTACAGGAACAGGACAAAGCACACAACAAATGCAATAATTCAGTGAGTAGGAGCACTGCATGACACCAAAGTGTTCTTTTTTGGATAGAAAGGAAATTAAACCACTGCAGAAGTAAGTGTAAACATGTCTCTGTACTTGCATTTGAGGTTTTAGACTCCGTCATGTGCTCACACATGGTATTCATTATTTTTTTCTTTGGTATTAAAAAGTGATCTGGAAGTACTGCTTTAAACTTGGTAATGCATGAAGTTAAATAGATAGAGAGATAGATAATACTTTATTAATCCCGTAGGGAAATTGATGGTGCTAAATAAAGTGCTAAAATTTGTAAATTACTGTTTCTCACCCCCATACGGCATGCATTGTTAGCATATGTAGTTTCCTGATTATTTCTTTACCTGACACTTACTGTACAGTACATACTGTCTAAATTAAAAATATTGTGTGTGACATACATTTGCCAAAGCAAATCTGAAAAGTAATAATGTATAACATACAGTACTAACTAACTTACTAGCTTAAGTAATTAATAAAGTAACTAGGCATATAGGTTGGAGGTCATTCATCGTACGTCACAATAATATGCAAACACATAAAAAGTTAATTGTAAAACTTAAGACATCTGTGTTAGAAAATCAGCAGTAAAGTAGGTGTGATGTAGAAAGGCCATGAGAGGAAAATGATAGTGAATTCTTAGAGGGTCTTAGAGGACTTATTCGTATGTCCAGGCACTCTGTATGTACTCTATGTGCAGCTTGCATCCTACAGTAATAATCTTCTCAGCGGGTAAGGCCTTGATCCTAGTGAAGAAGTATTTTCAGGAGCTTACCTGGGTGCAGGGCCTCCTGGGGGCTGAAGAGAGGACTCCGGACAATGTTGATCATACACCCGGGGTTACGGCGCACCTTCTCCACCAGCAGCGACAGGTTGTGGATCTGCGACTGCATGTCATAGATGAGCGAGCCATGGATATGAAGCAGGGTGTTGGCTTCAGTGTAATGCTGGTCCAGTTCATGGAACCTGTGCTCCAGGGAGGAGTTCAGTCCATTCTTCTCCTCGTTCTATCAGGGGAAAAAAAGCTGAGAGGACTT